AAAAAAGGCACGGGGGGCGGAGTTTAGGTGGGTCCCGGGCCGTTGAGAGAGAACGGCCCTTCCCGCCCAGAGGTTTCTACTCGACTGAAAGGGTAATGCGGGACCGGAGCGTAGACCGGAGCCACGAAAAACAGGCCCTTCAGTCTCCAAAAGGGCCCTTCCGCATCGGCGACCACGAGGCGCCCCCGGACCCCCCTCAAAAAGGGACGTGAGGGAGCCCCACCTGCCAAAACCCCCGGTAAACCTCGGTAGTAATTCGCAAACCCAAAAAAACTGCTGCCCCTTTTTTTACAGAGTTGGGTTTCCCAATTACGCACAGCGGCACCGACCCCACCCCCATTCTCCCCCTGACGGGAAAACCGAAACCCAAAAAAGGGGACCGCTCCGGAAAAAAAAAACATTTCTGCCTACAAAGGTCGTGCTCCAAAGCCTCTCAATACACGACGCCCCCAGGGTTATATGTCGGTGGGTAGACGATACCCAGAATGTCATCAAGTACACGCCACCCTGTCCCCGCATTCCGGAAAAGTTATTACGAAGGATGGAAACTGATGGAGATTATAACCCTTGGGATGACGAGAAAATTCCGAAAAAGACCTGAGTGGGATAAACGGTTTCCATTGTCCCCTCCCTAATACGCATCAGTTATACGCGCCTGGATCCAGTTTTGTGAAAAAAAAAGGTCATGAAGATCCGATGGGCGCAACAGAGGGGGTGGATAACTGTATTTTTACGTAATTGATTTAGACCGGTAAACAATGGGGTTGAAACCCCCCTCTTTCTTTTTTACAAAAAAAAAAAAGTCGAGGAGGCGGGAGAAGGGGGAGGGCCGAATGTATCCTTTTTAAGATTTGGCTATATAAGTTCCAAAAATTTCTCTCCTCTTTAGACAAAAGGAAAACAGGCCCGCCTGGAGACAAACGCCAATCCCCCCTGTTATAAGGGGGAAATGGTCCCCTAGTTTCTAAAAACCCAGTCTAAATCCCCCTATTTGGGGGAAGGCAGTGCGGGCGTTTTTTGGGGGCTTTCCCCGAAGTCGCCCCCACGGAAACACCCAGAATCGCCCTCGCATGAGCCGAACCCCTCGAGAGCCCTTTGTTGCCACGAAAAGAGGGTTTGGGGGCTTAACCAGGGAATCCCCAGCCCCTGGGGACGAGGAGAGCGATCAGATACAATTATAGTTCTATGACCCCTTTTGCCACAATCCCAAGGGGCGCTGTGATCCCTGATCAACCCGACCCCAATGGGGGCTGCTAAAAAGGGCATGAAAAAGGGGAAAAAGGGTTTGCAAAGGTAGGAGAAGGACCCTAATCAAAAAAAAAACTTCGATAACAAAATTCCCCTGCGCCCGGGGAAATATAGCGTTATGTGGGAAGAGGTGCAACCTGTGGAAAAAAAACAGGTAAAAAAGTGTGAACAAAAAGTCGGGTAAAGGGGCGCTACCCCCTGGGAGGGCCCCCCAGGGTGGCCTGTTTTATTTTCTCCCGGAGAACCCTCCCCCGCACCTGGCCGTGTGTGCCCCAACCGCACTTGGTGGGAGAAAACCCCCGGGTCTTCCTACTCCGTTTTTAGCGCCGGAACCCCCCCAGCTCCCTAGGGCTGGTCGGGGTGCCGGGGGGGGGGAAAAGGGGCGGACTCCCCTCGGGACGTCACGGGTGGCCAGCGGGGTCCAGACGGATGGAAACGACCAATGGGGCGAAGTAAGAGGTTATCCCGCAGGGGCCCAAATCAGTTTTAAGTCCCCCTGTAGGTACATCGAAAAGGTCGAGAGGCCCGTTATCCACCCGCACCGCCGCTAGAGTCCCGGGACTCTAGAGGAACACCTGAGCGCTCCTCTCCCCTGTCTCAAATGATAGCGCTCCCCCCCCCGTTGCCCTAGGTGGATGGGGAAAAAAAGGCTTTAAGCGGGGGGAGAAAATCGGGTAGGTGATGGGTTTGGATCCCTCTTTTCCATCGGGTTTTTCCCACTCCCAAAGCCTTGCCGGTGAGACAGGGATGAGGGCGGAAAACCCTTGTACCCCGGGGGACCGGGGTACGTGGCCAGGAGGCTCCACTGCAGGAGGAACCCCTGACCCCGGAAAATGTTCCCTATACGCCCTCGGGGGCGAGGCCGAACCCCCCTGGGTGAACGGGGGGGGGACCCCGCCTGGGTGGACTTTTTGTGGGGGGGTTACCTTCCCCCTCCCACCATATTTTTTCCTCCGTAGCGGTTCAGTTGGGATGGTCCTTTGCCCAGGAGATGTCCTCGAGCGCACAGGCGATGCCGACCCGAAATTGGGTTTTGACCAAGGCGTTGAGGTGGGTTTTTTGGGTGGAACATGTGAGGGGGGGGTCAGTCAAAGGCTTTTTTCAAAATTTTATTATAAAAAGAAAAACAAAAGCCAAGGGAAAATGCACGACGCACAAGGCACAAAAGAAAAGCGCACAAACATGGCAAACAACCCTCCCGAAACAGGGGGGAAAATGAGCTCCCAAAAAACCCAAACGAAGCGCAACACACACAACGACAAGCCACACCCAAAGAGAAAATGGACACTAACAAGGATAAAAGACAAGGTGACAACATCCCGACAAAACAAAGAAATGAAACAAGATCTGGGAGCTAGTACTCCGGGGACGACGACCCCCGAAGCCTGCCCGAACCGGAGGGGAGCGTCCGGCCCAAAACCCTGACAGCAGAAACAATAAATTTTCCTTTTGGGTATTGCACAGTCGTGGTCATTATAACATAAATCAAAAACCCCAACAAAAAACCGTGGTTTTTTGGAGAATCAGGTTTTTTTTCTGGTCCAATTCAGCATTTCGGATTTTCCTATTGAGTGGAAAGTGTGTTTGCTCTAGTGCATGGACTGTTAAAAAGAATAATATGAATATGTTATGTTATCGGGGGGGTAGTATTGATACAAAAAAAATATAGATATTTTAACCCTAAAGAATTTGACCTTAGATATTTAAACCCCCCTGGAAATAAAAAATTAAAATTTTAAAAAAACAGTTTAAACCACACAGATGTTTTTAATATACAGATACTAAAAAATCGAATTAAACCCCTACAGAGTTAAACCCCAAGAATAAACCCTTAGAAATTTAAAATATAGAATTTTAAAATAAAAGCCATTAGCAGACGCTTTTTTCCAAAGAAATTCAGTCATGCGGCATACATTTTTTGTAGGGGGGGCCGGGGATGAACCCCCTACCTTGGCGTTACAACGCCGTGCCCTTTCCAGGGTACAGAGGACCAGTTTAAAAACCCACAGGGACCACTTTTAAACCCTAAATTTACCCATAAATATTAAACCTAAGATATTAAACATATAGATTTTAAACCATACGAAATTAAAAAATAAAGATT